TTCGAATTATTTTCTGCTCCAAGGGGAGAAATGGACTTGTGGAGGCATTTTCTCTCCTTGGAGCAGAAACCGAAATGTCGTCGTAGACAGTGCGACGAGCTCTAGTCGCTAAGACCTTGCAAGAGCGTCCCCCCCCCCCCCCGCCCGCGATATGAATAGAATGAAGAGGATACTACTCAGTAGATGTTTCGAGCAGGGGCAGGTCGGATTGTGAAGGCATCGCGTGCGGCGATAGCGATGAAGCTTTTGTCGATGATGTTGCATTCGCTGCCTCTAGGGTCTGAGTGAGGGTAGTCTACGACTGAGACTCCGAGGTAGGTATGAAACAGTCCTAGGCATTCAGAAAATACCCTCGGATTCTCAGTCGTGGTCAGATCTCACCAAATCCTCCGGTCAATTGGTTGAAATGGAAGAGAAAGTCTTCCTGTAACCAAGTTAGCGATGCACACACACGAGCGGTATTGGGTGAAGACGGACTAGTCTGTGGTCTTCGAGCCGGAAACGAGTTGTTTGAAACCTCTTCTTTGCAGAGATCTGAAAGTCCTCCCCCCCCCCGCCACCCACATATGCAGGCAAGCTGGTTGGGGGCGGTGGGCAGGTGGAGGAGGAGGTTGGATATTCGAGCCTCTTGGTCCTTGAAACATGGATCGGACTCAAAGCTACAGGCCCTTGAGTGGGTGAGTGAGAGCCGCCTCAGTGTGACGACCGGCTGAGATACGCAAGCCAGGGCCTGTAGCTTTGAGTCGAGAACCATTCCGCAGTCCAGAGAAAGACCTTTGACGATTGAGGAGAGTATTGTTCGAACAGTATTTTTTGGGTGGTTGGAGCGCACAACGGAGGGTCCCGTCGCGTGGGAGCTCCTCCGTTTTCTTAGAAATATCCAAGACTGGACTCTGCAGGGCGGGTTAGAAAAAGGATCATGCCACGGGAAGATGCTTTCTTCATGATGAAGTCTATGTCGAGAACAAGCGGTTACATGGCAGACAGACCGAAGGCATGGGTATTACCTGGCTTTCAATGGGGCAAAACAGGTGTAACAAAGAACAGTTGGAAGAGTGAACATACCGGAGCTGAGGTACCAAGTCCTGGCAGTGCCAGTGGCGAAAAGTAAAATGTGAACCATCGATTGTAGTCTTCGCTCGTACCTCCTTGATCATTCTGTATCCTTCGTCGATCTTTGCGTAATCCGCCCCAATTGCCGGAGGCCGCAGGGCACTCCAGTTATGGAAGCTTCCTGCTTTCACGACGTTAGCAAAGCTTAAAGAGCAAGGTGCGGAAGAGGGCTCAGCTCACCTTTCGAACAGTTCTCTTTGAGAGAAAAATACTAGGCTGTGCCTATATGTCAGGTGAGGCTTGCCGTCGTCATGAAAGAGGCATTTCAAAGACTATCAGTACTGAGGATGGCATCCAGGGTGGATAATTCCAGTCGGAGCTGAAGAAAAGGGTGGTAAACTCGCATACGATGCTATTTGAACAAAGAGAAGAGAAGAGGTTTTGTGTGTGGGAAGTTTGGATGGGAAAAAGAGTGATAGGCAGAAAAGGGAAAAGAATATTGACTGCACAGAATGTGGGAAAGGAGGAATATCGGCGTCACGTGTTGAGGGTTTGTTTGATATTTGTGGCATGGAAGGAGGCAGAGACCGGGGGAAAGGTGAAGGAAGGTGCGATGAGTGATTATGAGGCTGGCTGTTTCCAGTAAAGGAAGTTAGAGATGTAAAGGTAGAACAGCCTCAATGTACCTGCCTTACCTGTGTATAGGTACCTAAGGTACCTTGGTGAACTGTAAACAACGTGAAGCTGCACGGCTGTTGGGGCCAACTTTCACAGTTCCAAATGCTGTCATTTGGATGGTTGATTCAATCCAAGAGTTCGTCCAGCTTGAATTGTAGTCTGTCTGTAGATGAGTTTGATATGTGGCTCGTCTGATGTTGTCTGCGTTTTCATACAGGTCTCGACGCTGGTCTTGATTTCGGTCTATTAAAAGCAACGAATCCTCGCAAACAACAGATTTCTTTCTAAAAGTCCTCTTGTAGTGTATTTGATGCCACTCCGCATCTCCCCCTTGATTTTCTGAGTACAGTTAATCATTCCATATGCCTGCATTGTCACACGGGGGCTAGGTTTAGACAATTCAAATCGGTCATACCCCGTTTGCACAAAAGCGTGGTGTCGAACTTCAATCTGCCATCCTCCAAACTCTCGAATTTAATAGTTCGACTGCCTGATTTGATAACATCCCGTTGACGATAGACCACCCGTGTGAGATTCATCGTACGCGTTTCCCGGACGTGGCAGAAAAGCCACCAAAGATGACGGTAGGTCAAACTGTCACAGTTGGCACATGTGGCTATCAGTAGTAGAAAGCGTTTTAAATATCTATTGACGGAATTCGAGACAACATGTGAGGCGGACATGAAAACGACTTCGATGCACAACGGGGCCGATGCCGGCGTCAGAGTTCTCCACCACCGACGACATGCCGTGGACGGGGCGAAAGCAATCCACCGGGATATGGCCAAGGCGAAGGTTGGGCAAGTTGATACATAGAAGAATTTCGAACAATCAAGCTTGACAGTAATTGATATCTCTACTCGATGCAGAGAGACTTGCGGTTTTGCCAAGACATCTCCATTGGCCCAAGGCTGTCACTCTCCTCCGCAATGTTGAAACTCAGCAAATCTTAGCTGATCATATGGACAGAATTCAGTATACCCTGACAGTAACACCAAGACGGACCGACTCAGAAGACTGCTTTGTAATGCGTGAAATATTTTCCGGCTGCGTCAACATACAACACAGAGAGTGGAACCAGAAGATCGCGGGAAAGAAATGCTACTTCCGGTTTATGAGGTAAAGCTTGCCGACTCCTTGACGTGGTTAATAAACTAGGTAGCCCCCGGCCCCAACCAAGATGAACACCCAAAGGGCCGCATTACACATCGGAGTCCCTAGTCATCGTCAAACCAAACCAAACATAATGTCCTACACCTCAGTCACTATCGTCGTCTCGCCATACCACGTCGGCATCCCCAACCACCGCGTCGGCACCGGCCCCAACCGCATCCTCTCCCACGGCCTAGCCGACAAACTCGAATCCCTAGCCCCAATCCGCTTCGTCAACATAGGTCCCGTAGACGACTTTGAAGGCGAGATCGGCCGCACATTTGAACTCCTCCGCCGCATATCCACCGCCGTCTCGGAGGCCGTAGCCGCACACTCTTTCCCGCTTGTCCTCTCGGGGAACTGCTACGCCAGCACCGCCGTGGCAGCAGGTCTTAACGCTTCCGTTCCGGGCTTGAACCTGCTGTGGATAGATGCACACGATGACCTGGATACACCGTCAACAAACGAGAATGGGTACCTTGATGCAATGGCGCTGTCTATGGCGGCTGGGATGAGCTGGCATAAGCTGATGGAATCCGTGCCGGGGCACAAACCCTTGAGTCTTGATCGAGTGGCGTATTGCGGCCTGAGGGACGTGTCTGAGCTGCAGAGGAAGACAGTGACGGAGGCTGGGGTGGATGTTATCTGGGGTGACGAGAAGAGCAAAGTCGATTTCGCAAAGGAACTGGGGGTGTTGTTGGAGCGGAGGAGGTTCGAGAAGACGCATATTCATCTCGATCTCGATGTTTTGGATGAGTCATTCGGGAGGGTGAATGAGTTCCCTTCTCCAGGGGGGTTGAATGAGCAAGATTTGGTAGGGTGCTTGGAGACGATTCCGACGAAGACGAGTCCGACGTCTTTGGTCGTGTGTTCTTTCAATGCAGAGTTAGAGGGAGGCGATACAGTGGCTAGACTTGCAGTGAGGGGCATTGTGCGCTTTGTTGAGGGGCTCATCCAGGCCGAGATCCTGAAAGCAGCTTCGTGAGAGGTGTCAGGTCTTTGTCCTGAGCCGATCAAAAGCTGAGTGTATCCAGGCTTATAATCTAGCTTATCAAGGGAGACCACATAGATTCAGAAGTTGAGGGCACCGTGGTAGTAAAGATGTTGATAGTGGTACCGGCATCAAGTGATATGGCATCATGGCTGGAACATAGTGAGGTAGCCCACGTCAAATATCACTGAGAGCAACTCGAAACCTTTGCATCGAAGCAGGAAACGGTGTGAACCGCGCCAAGGTGCCTGGACAATAGGGAGTGTACCTCTTTCACCTCCACTCCGTACCTACTGAATAACATAAGATTCAGTCAACGTCAACGCGAAAAGCTATACGTCTGCTGCATCTCGTCCCTGGTTCCGCGAAGTCTTCAAGTCACGTCTGGTGAGACTTCCAAACTCCGGCATGCACCCACAGACGGGGAGAAATTCTCCTGACAGATTGTAGCTACAATCATGTTTGAACTTGGCCCAGAGTAGAAAGCAGCTCATGGACCTCAGAATCATGGCCATGATACACTAAGATCTTGACACCGATGAGATTTTTACTCGCATCCTCTAAACCGCTGTTAAGTGATGGAAATCTTCCGGTTCATGTGACATCGCCGAGAGGCAAAGTTGAAAATCATGGGAGCCCGAACTCGAAAACAAAACTACGAACTCACATCATGACATGAATCCTTTGATAAGATTCAAGGTCTTTACTGTGCTTAGGCATTGACAACCCATGATCTCCATGATCGCCGACCACCTCTCAATCTCCTCGGCGGATAAATTCAATCCAAGCCTCTCAGCACAAAGGCTTCCCCCCAAAAGCTGTCACTCTGATGTTCCATTGACCACCAGAGTCTCTTGTCTCTGGCTCAGACCTCATGTAAGCCCCAATATGGCAGGTAGTTCCACCCGGGATGGTCGTGCGTATCTGAGAGCATGCAGGCAGCTTCGGATGCCGACCTCGTGGCGGTCTGACAGGCTGCAGCTACTAGCGCCGCCGCGAGACACCCATCCAAAATAGACTGGCCCGTTGTGGGATACCTCAGTCAGATCTCTCACAGCCTCATCGCCCACCAAGACCACCAAGGGATGCGTGAATAATTCCAATCGCATCAGACAGTCCGCAGGCCATGCCTCACGACACTATCATGACGCGGCGTGAGGACAGCCTGGATGAGCCCATATACGCGCAGTACAGATTTTCACAAACAGTGCCGTCAGGGCAAGGCATCGCGTCGCACATCAGACTCCTGAGTATATCGGAAGACATTCTCGCGACAGTACACGGCGAGCGCGACATCCTCATTTGGAACGTCAAGCTCAACTTGCCTCCTCAGCGCATCGAAATCGACTTAGTCCTCGACCACATTACGGGCATTGCCATCTCTCCGACAAGTAGCGACGTTCTCGCGCTGTCGTTCCGGTCGGGGTCCAAATGCGAGGTATGGACGTTCAACTGGGCAGGCAAAGCCCCTGAGGCAATGTTCACGACGGGTTTGGACTTCCACTCACCACAATTTTCGCCTGATGGTCGTTTACTCGCGTGGATATCGGCCGGGTGTGTGGACGTTTGGGAAACAATCATCAACACGCACGTCCAGACAATTAGCGAAAGCAAGAAAGTGACCAGCGGCCGGCCGGTATCCAAGTTCGCATTTTCGACGGATTCAAGTCGACTCGCAACGGTGGATCGTTCGGGGAGGCTGGTGAGCTGGGACGTCGCAACATGGACGTATATTGGCGAATCGAAGGCTCAGCCGGCGATGGACGACGGCGGGTGGGAACCAGTGCAGCTCGTCACAGATGCCAGACGTGTCATGATGGTCTCCCGCGGCGTACCTTAGATGGCGAAGTTCCGCAAAGGTGGAGGTTGACAACATGGTGGCCGAGTAGCGGTAACAGGGCGGAACTCGAGATGGACAAATGCGTATACGGATGCGTTCCTGGAAATTGTGCATTCGTGGCGACGGTTCAGTCAGACGGGGGAAAGCTGCGAATTCGTGACGCGAACAACGGCATGTGCTTCGATCAGTCGACCCAAGGCATTGCGAAACGCGGCAAGACACCCTCGGTGGTGACGGGCGGTATGGTGATGAGTGGAAAGATTATGGTAACGCAGATTGCCAACGGGAGGACGACGATATGGCAGTTGGTGGCCACGGAGTAGGGCTCGAAGCGCACGACGGCGCGAACGTGACTCGCGAAAGGGCACGATGTCTTGGTTGGGAAGAAGGGTTTGCACCAAGATATGCGCCAAACCGAGCAGAGCCCGATAACGACGATTATCTTCTCACGAACTCGCTGATTCTGGTCAGCGAAGCGAAATCCAATCTAGAAGTAGGCGGGGGTCGTCTTGATGGGGCCTAGTCGCCGGATGAAGATGTGGATTCGGCGTTATCTTACTCAAAGTTTGCCCTCAATTTCCATCAGGCAATGTTTACAAACTATCCTGCTAGACCGGCGCCCGCTTAGTCTTGTCAGAGCTTTTAAGTTAACTTGTTGCAGTCGGAAGCTACTATCCCTAATCGCCCGTACTTGAAAGACATTGTCATCCCCCCTATGTCTCCGAGTCAAACCGCTTCATATACGGAAGACGGAGTTCTACGCCGCATTATGGCCGTGTTTTGCTCGCGTTCGATCGCACGTTTGAAGGATCAAGACGCATGGGATTACCAAAAGAGTGATAAGACCTTGGGTGACAAAACTCCAGGTCAAACCTAACCCACTTGTTAGTCTATGTTGGGCTGAGAGGCTGGCGGGTACCATACCAACAGCTTCAACCCAAGTATTGATGAACCAAGGGACAAGGAACGCAGAAATCTATAGGCCGCGTAATATTGAGTAAGCTTGTGTTCTTTCTGCATCTCCTAGAGTACATAATGTACCAATAGATCGCCTCACATTGTAGAGAAACCCATACAAAGATATGACTTCCAGGACCTGATCTGGGAAAGCAGCGATCGAGTACGTTATCACTGTTACGTTTCCCATTTGCAATCCTGCAGCGACTGCGCCATACATTAGTTAAGGGTTCCCGGATGAGGGGTTGTCTTCTCACAGATGAACAGAGCGAGCTCTCCTATCATGAAATGCCAACTGCGATCAATCGAAATACCCCACAAGATGCATCCTCCCGCCCCGAGTAGTGCCGCGGGATATGCAAGCCATAGATACATCGCGGGTGCAATTATATCATTCTTGCTTCTGGCGAGCCGGGACGCGAGTTTGTCGAGAATCCGACCAGAGCATACCATTTCGATAGTACCAGTACCTAGGATGAGGCCAAGCCAAAGCAAACCCTGAGTTTGGGTGCTGAATTGGGCATATGCCACTGGCCCCATTGTGAGAAAAGAGACGACCCTGGACAGATCCCGTTAGATAAAGGACTCTCGTAACATTGTCACCTGATTTTGGCAGTGTAATCTTACCACCAATACTGGAAGAATATGTAAGGAATGACTGCACACAAAAATCGAGGCTTGGCCACAAGTTTCATGAAGCGGATGGCCATCATAAACGTCTGCCTCTTTGACCCTACTTGAAGCTGCCGTACTTCCTGCAAACTCGTGAGGATTTTGAAACAGCCACGGTGCAAAAAGACTTACCCAGAGCCTCGAATTCTTTGTTCTTTTGACATTGTCCCACTCTTGGTCCAGTAAGACACTGTCTGATATAGATTTCCGTGGGTAGAATGTTTCCGGTAAGAGTAATATCTCGAGTAGGAGGAGAACTCCGTAGGCAATTGCAACATGATACTGCACCCACAAGATCCCAGCATCAACAACAAATCCTCCGACTATACTCTATGTCAGGGCTGTTTCTCTGTTGATATCAAACAAAACTCACCAAGGGCACCAATCATCCCCCCTACGTCGATTGCCAAAACCCAAAGGCCTGTCTTAAAGCCTCTCTCGTGCTCATACGTGATGTCTTGCACAACGGCGAATCCTACATTCAGCGCTGGCCCGGCACCGATTCCTTGAAGGAGACGAAGAACTAAATAAGGACCATAAGGTAAATTGGCTGCCGTTGTGCAACCGGTCGCTACCAGCGCGATCAGAGAGGTACCTATCAGAACGGGGCGACGACCCCAGATATCGGAGAACCCCGCAAATAGCACAATACCGACGGCAAGACCAAGAGCAGGGACAGCCAAAGACCAGTTGACCTCAGAGTAACTGATGCTGAAGTGCTCTTGTAGCAGCGGAAGCGATGCAACCGGTGCGGTTGTAAGATAGATGGACAGGAAGCCGGCGTAAGAAACAATGAACAGCACAAGTGCTTTTTGGAATTTTGACCAATTCAAAGGATGCAATGGGTCTGAATTCGGTTGGGGGACCATAGGCCGACCGCGTGGGTCAAGGATAACTGCTTGTCCAGATGTTGAGTTGGCCGGTGGAAACGTATGGCCATTGACATTCTCCACTCGAGGGGCTTCAGTATCAAGCTGACCGTTATCCTTCATAGTCTTGCTGGGGTTGTCGTGTCTTTGCTTAGAGTCTTCAAGGTTCGACATCGTAAAGTATACTCAGATGGTAGGAGGTTGATGCGACTCAGAAGGTCAGGCTATGGATGACATTTGGTTCTCTTGAGGAGTCTTGGGAAATCAAAGCCATCCTACCTGTCTCCAACACTTTGGTCTCTACTCACCCCGCGCACTCTGCCATCCATAACATCTGGTGCATACGGCTGATAAGCAGCCAACTCACTTTCAATTACACATAACCAGTGCCGGCAGATGATATCCGCAAATGGCTCTTCGCGATAAAGAGATATGTTATCTGTCAAGTACGTTCAATCGGAGGTAATGTCTCACCCCACATGTTTCTTGTTGGGCAATGCCGGATGAGTGTTGCCGGCGGCCTGAGGCGATCCGCATCAGCGGAAAATTGACTCTTTTAAGTTCGATACGTAAGGTCTCGCGGATATGCTATGGCAGCATCGGCCTACCGTCGTAGTGGCGGGTGCGCATATTGCAACAAGGGGCGTTCTGGTTAATGTTTGGGACACTGATGCTTTCCCAATTAGGCAAATTTTCCACCTCCCCAGTCCATGACAAGGGCCTCCATAAACACAACGTCAAGTGTCGACAAAAGTAGCACTGGGGCAGTTCGCGTATGTTAAGCCTTGATTTGCGACGCCAGTTTCTTTCGTGTTGGCCGAACTGTCGTCTCTTAGAGTTTGACCACTTTAGTCTCTTCTTCAGATCACTAGAGTGTACCTCTCATTTTCCGAAGCGAGCTTGAGATTTTGAGAAACACAACCAAGGCAGGTTGTTCTCAGAGTACAAGCATTTCATCGCGGTCTAACACATAGCTTTACAAATTCAGGAACCATGCAGCGCGATCAAGATACGCCCAACCTTACCGAGCGAACATCACTCCTACGTCCTAGGTCAACCACACCTACGTCGAACCCGACCGACAAGCATGGATTGTCTATGCTACGAGAAAGCAAAGCTGGGATTCAAGAGACTATTGTTTTGATGCAACTGTCGTTACCCGTCATTACTGCCTATCTTTTGCAAAACTCATTCCAAACCGTATCAATGATGCTTGTTGGGCGATTCTACCCCGAAAGTCTATCGGTTGCCGCCTTTTCCTACATGTTCAGCACATGCACCGGCTGGCTCATTGGCATGGGCGGCTCGACAGCTCTAGATACTCTCGCGTCGACTGCTTTTACTAGCTGCGACAAGCACTACACTGGTATTTTGCTACAGCGAGCCGTGATTATTCTTACGTTATTCTTCATTCCGGTTGCAGTCATCTGGGTGTATGCCGAGCCCCTCTTTATCGCTCTTGGACAAGACAAATCATTGTCGCACGAGTCGGCTAGGTTCTTGACGCATCTCATCCCCGGTGGTCTTGGATATATCTACTTTGAGATTCTCAAGAAGTATTTGCAGGCTCAGGGAATCGTGCAGCCGGCAACATACATTCTTCTCTTTACTTCTCCTATCAGCGCCGGCCTTAACTACTTCTTCATCCAGCTCTCAGACTTTGGTGTCATGGGAGCTCCCCTGGCAACGGGTATCGGCTACTGGCTTTCCTTTCTTGGCCTCCTCGGCTACGCACGCTTTGTGAGGGGATACGAGTGCTGGGGCGGTTGGGACAGGCGCTGTCTTGAGAACCTGCCAGCCTTTGCTCGTCTTGCTTTCCTCGGATTTGTACATCTGGGCACGGAGTTCTGGGCATTCGAGATTGTTGCCCTTGTTGCTGGACGCCTGGGCCCGTTGCCATTGGCGTCTCAAAGCATTCTCATGACCGCAGACCAGGTCCTTGTCACTATCCCGTTCGGCATCGGCGTGGCAACCAGTATCAGAGTCGGCGGGCTGCTTGGTCTTAGAGACAGAACCGCTGCTGTCAGGTCCGTCAGAGCAGCAATATTCTTGACCTTAGGGGTAGCTACTTCCATCATGACTTTGTTGATTGCCAGCAGATCTCGATTTGCGGCCATCTTCACACCTGACAAGACGGTAGTATCATACACAGCACGGGTGTTACCGTGGGTAGCGTTCTTTCAAATATTTGATGGACTCAACGGTAGCTGCGGAGGATCGCTTCGGGGAATAGGAAAACAGAACCTAGGCGCCACCATCAATGCTCTGTCATACTACATGGTTGCGCTGCCGCTTGGCACTTGGATGGCCTTCTCAGGATGGGAACTTTCGGGGCTCTGGATAGGGCAGACAGTCGGCATGATCTTAGTTGCGGGGCTCGAACTTGCTGTGATTCTTTCTGTCAACTGGGATCATGAAATTTACAAAGCACTTCAGAGAATAGATGCCTAGAATAGCAACATGAGTATACAATGACACAATTGCTTTTCAGGAACTCCTGCATGATACGTACAAAGCCTTCAGGTCTTAGTGTCATTTTGTATGCAATCTTTTGTCTCTGCCGTCCTCAGTGAGGAACATCTGTGTGGCTAAGTCTAAGATTAGAGCCGAATGGTTTGATCCACGTTGTATTGAGTCACAGTCTCCGGAGCAAAGATTGGTTTTCCATCTACTATTATTTCTTCCTGCAGCCGCCAGCGATGACGGAAGTTGGACACATCAGGCACTATGCGACGGTTCCCATCGGCTGAAATGATGTGGCCGCGTAAAGCAGAGACACAAACTCTGAACCCGTCCGATTCGATGACAGCACTCTTGGGATTCTCGGATATCTGTCCCAGTCGACTTACCGATTGGCAATTCGAGCACATGGGGGATCATGGGGGTGGGGCCTGCGGATTAGTTTCCCAAGACGGCTAGCTTTTAACTCCTGTGGTAAAACGAGACCGACGTCCATAAGAGGCAATGCCCAAGACATCAGAAGGATGACCACTGGGTAGTTAAGGAGTTTTCTGAATGCACTGTGCTTTTGTCTATTGAGAAGCAATGCTCAGACTCTTTTATTATTGTTCGCTTTTGGCTGGGTCGCTCGCCCATGCAGTCCAACGGCCACTGCAGAGTAATGACGGCGTTGTCACGCCCCAGAACTACGAATATGCACGGTTTCCCATCATTCAAGGGGCCCAGTATTATCGCTGACTTGCGGTAGGACCATTCTGCGTTCGCAGGTATCACGACTTACGGCCTGCTGCGTCATCTTCCTTGCCTCCAGGACGAGTCCGTTGCTTTTGACATTGCCACTATTGGTTCGTATTCCAAGGCAGAAATGACTTCTTTCTAGTATTGTATGTCTGGTTGACTTAGCGTAACAGGTATCCCGTTCGATAGTGGTGTAACCTACCGCCCTGGTGCTCGGTTCGGCCCTTCGGCTATTAGACAAGCTTCTCGCCATCTGACTCTAGCGTAAGTGTTTCCGTGCCATGGAGCCATGCAGATACCTGGACTAACAGCCTGACAGAGGTGGTTATAATGTGTAGGTTTCGCTGATATCTACGCATCCATCTCTCTGACCCCGAGGTTTGCAGACCTCAACACGTGAATCCTCTCAAGTTTTGGGGACAAGCACTTGACTGTGGCGACATTCAAGCTTCACCGTGAGTAGTACCAATGCCACAGGGTAGATCATGTGTTGATTCTGGCATTGAAACAGCCATGACAAGGAGGTGGCAATGAAAGATATCGAAAAGGGGTACACTAGCCTGCTCCAGCGTCCAGCCTACACGAAATCATCGACCGCCGAATCGAACGATTTGAGAACAATTCCTCGACTTCTCACGCTGGGTGGTGACCACACGATTCTGCTGCCGATTCTTCGAAGCATCCACAAAGTATACGGGCCGGTCAGCGTCATTCACTTCGATTCCCATCTCGATTCGTGGAATCCAACGCAAGGAGCGCCATCCGATGCAGCACAAATCACACACGGGAGCTTCTTTTACTGGGCAAACCAGGAAGGCTTGATTTCCAATTCGAGCAATATGCATGCTGGCCTTCGCACGACTTTGTCAGGGCTTGGAGACTATGACGAAGACGAGCTGTGTGGCTTCACACGCATCGAGGCTCGTGAGATTGACGACATTGGCACACGCGGCATCATCAAGAAGATCATCGATCGTGTAGGCACCGACAAGCCGGTCTACTTGTCTATCGACATTGATACACTCGACCCTGCCTTCGCTCCAGCAACTGGAACTCCCGAAACTGGAGGTTGGTCGACACGTGAACTACGCGCAATCATTCGAGGTCTCTCCGACGTCAACATCATTGCTGCGGATGTCGTTGAGGTATCTCCAGTATATGACACGAACGCTGAGGTCACATCACTCGCTGCGGCAGACTTGATATATGAGATCATGAGCACTTTTGTGAGGAGAGGCCCGATGACGCTGGCCAATGAGTAACGCTCTATTGTAAGGCCATTTCGAGTTGAAACCTCACTGTTCCATTAAAGCTCGGGTTGTCCGGACTAGACTATTCGACAACGGGCGATGGCGACTTTTACAATACTTGCAAGAACCGGAGATACGATCGAATGCTGCTTTCCTTAGATAATATAATAGATGTCAACACTTCTCACTCAAAGCTTATTTGGGTCATTTTTGGCTGTGTGAGAATCAGTCTGAAGGACTCAGTGCTAGATGTGTATCTAGCAAGTCAGCCAGCTAAAACTACACAATGCCACGTTTCAAAGGCGGGTATTGCAAGGCTCTTTCCGATTCCCTACTTCCATCATCTCATCCTAGAATAGTGAATTAATGCAGAAGTCCGGATCCACTGTGGCATTCTCGTCAGCAATTGCCTCGCCCAAGATTGTCTCGGTTCACTCACATTTGTAGAACCAGTCGGGCCACCTGAGTCCAGGGTCTAGATCTCGTACTTGCCATACATGCTCCAACGACAAGCATACGTCTTTTCGATTATACGTGAGCCCCCTCGGTGTCCGCAACCTTTCCAAAATGGCTCTCCGAGCCTGTTCCTCGACGGCTTCGCAGCCAGCGATGAAGAGTGGGAATAGAACGGCATGAGAAACGCGAGATGCGACAGGAATTTTCCCAACCTCAAACACGATAACCTGCACCTTCTTGCGTACCAGAGGAGCCGTGAATGGCATACCTTTGAGGCGTACGTAGAACAGGAGAAATGTTGCTGCATGCATGGCTTCATTCAGAGAACGGAGCTCCTTCGGATCTGCAGTGTGTGTTTGACAGCGATCCAGGTCGACATCTCTGGCCATCAGCAGTTCTTCTTCAAGCTGAATCATTTCATTTCCCATGGTTTTATCCGACCAACTATACTGATTGACGGCCCACTGAGACTTTTGGATGTCAAGAAGCTTGGCCAGACGAAGAAGAGGGTTGACGAGACGAGGAGAAAATGCGTATATCGGGTGATTCAGCCAATCGCGAAAGGAGGGCGAATAGTTATGAGCAACCTCTTCTTCTCGCATCTCCAAATATTGGTAGATCTTATTGTTCGTCAGTGTCTGAGAACTCTGGAACGAGCATACCGTTGATATGACAGTCCATCGCAGCATAGAGAGTACAAGCTGAACAATTGGTGAGAGAAGGTTCGAGAAGGACTGCGGGCGTTTGTAGAAGCCGGCGACAAGCGCGCCTGCAGAGTCCAAATACTCTGAGGTTTCAGTATCACCCTGGCCAAAGTGGTGCAGAAATATCCCACAGGCAATCTTTGAGAATACATGTAGAGTCCAGCTTTGGCTCCAAGATTGATCAGAGTATGGTTGAGCTTTCAAGGCTAAAGAAGCCTTTCTCGAACAATCCCTCACAAGCTGCTGGAAGTCGCCGCCATGTTGGCTGGCGTTGTACTGAAACGCAGCGAAACAGAAAATCGAGCTCCGTAAGCTTTCGTCACAAATTGCCATTTGTGGGATAGTGGCTATGAAAGGGTCCTGGGATCCATGGAACCTGGATAATTCTTTCTCATCGAGGCACAAAAGTCCATCTTTCGTTATGTGCAAGAAATACTGCCAGAGAAAACGTTTCTCGGGTGATGCAAGCATGTCCGGCGGCCAAGGCATTGGACAGTGAGTCATTGATGTAGAGTCGTGCAAGGAACCTCGGCGATTCCCAGTCATTGGGCTCCAAGAGACCAAGCTTGTATTCATTGCAAAATCATCCAAGACGCAATTTATTGCAAGATCATCCAAGGCGGAGTCCATTGCGTTGTTCAAGTCTAGAGAGTCCAGGAGCTGCGTATCGACTTCTATGTCGTCGAAGGCAGGAAGTAGTGCGTCGTTTGAAGCCGACTCTCCGTACAACTCCGCATTCTCAATGGCGTTTTCGTCTATGAAAAGGGTCTCAAAGTGATGATCGCCATTGTTGACATCTTGACGGCCAGGAAGATTGGACCCCGGAAACCCACGATCACCCGTGTGGCCGGTAACGAGCCACAGGTCACCGGTTGGATCTCCGGTCAGAGGATCGTCGTTGTGAGTCTCTGAAGGGACCTCAGCTGTGCAAAGGGCCGTTGAATCAGAAACTAAGCGTTGTCTCTCTACTGTTCGGCTGCTAGAAGCATGCTTCTGCATGCCTGGTTCCTGATTCTCGGGTTCTTCGGGTGTCCATATCTTGAAGACCTCGAGGTCGCAGACCAGATGAGCCTTCAAGCAAAGTGAGCATTTCGGGCGTTTTTTATCACACTACAAATCTTGTCAGAATAGGCTTTCGCTTTGGTGTACGTATGTGGCGATAGCGTCGTCACCAATAATGGTCGAGGTAAGACATACTCTGCGCTTCTTCCGAACGCACTGCGCGCACGCACCCCTGGTCCGTTTGCTATGCCTCGTCGGCATGCTTGCGAAGCTGTATCAGACAGGTGACTGCTTCGTTGGAATCTCGATGCGGTTTCAAACGTTAGTGGCTTGACAGTTAAAGCACTGCTACTCGTTTGGTATGTATTGGGGCTACAATGGGTGGAAAAGAAGTTAACGTCTGCCCGGAAGGCTCCGGACAGAGGCCGAACCGATGTGCTTAGGTAACACGCCGGTCCGAAAGCCGTACCGACTAAGGTTTGAAAGACTCAGTACTCGAATATCCTAGTGACCTTGCGCCCTGACCGACATTCACATTTCAAATTGACTATGAAAGCCCTGTTCGGGTATTTTGAGATGGACTGTGTAACATAGTTCTCTAGCACAAAACGAGTTACATAACTTCCACTAAAAGGTAATGTTCCCCACGTCAAGGCACTCGTGATAAAGAAAATAAGAGCATCGAAGTTTCAAGTTCCTTCCTAAAGTAGTGCACAGAGATCAGAAAGCACCCATGGTTTCTTCAGAACCTTCAATCTCGCCGTACCGTGGCAACTCTTCTAACGCTTTCTTTAGAATCTTGAAGCCTTGGAAGAGATCTTCTTCGGGAATAGTCAACGCGACTCCCAAACGAATGCGGCCATTAGGGCCAGGAAAGACAAGTAGACCTTCGCTAGCGCACAGCAATGAAAACCGGCGGGGAGTAATGTTCGCCGGTTTACTTTCGTACTCTGTGTCCAGCAAGATATTCAAGTCCGCGCCGAAAGCTGGACAGTATCGCAGCCAGGGGAAATTCCATGTCGATGTTTCCGCGCTCCATTTGGCATGGATGTCTCGGGCCCGCTGCTGTAGGTTCTCCTCCTCGTAGATATCCAATGCGGTGGTCACACCTGTGACGGCCATCGAAGACATTGAGAACGTGCTAACTGAGTGGTATGGCTTCATTTTGTTCATGACTTCATCGGGGCCAAGCACAAATGAGGTTGGCCAGACACCTCCGGAGATGGACTTGCCCATGGTCACCATATCTGGTTTGTGCTCGGGCCCCATCCAGTCAGAACTCAAGAACCTGCCAGTCTTGCAGGATCCCATCCGGACTTCGTCTGCGATGAAGAGAATATTGTACTGCTTGCATAGCTTCCAGACGCCAATGCAAAAGTCGATCTCTTCCTCCATGGTCCTTGGAGGGGTTAGTAAATTGTTCGATTGTGTCGCAATGTTAGATGCGGCATTGGAAAGATGACTCGCCTGGCAAGTCCATGAAGTGGCTCCATGATGACGGCAGCGATACGCTCATGCATCTGCTCAAATATCTCTGCATAGTCTTCGACATGAAGGTAGCGAAGAACCTTTCCTGTTTGAGGGTTGATGTTGGTCATATTTTTGCTGAATGTCGCGAATTCTGGGTTTCATTTTACTATTTTGGCATTTATCAATAGGAGCTTGATGTGGCGGCTTACCTTCCCAGCCGGCCTCCGGCTCCATGAGAGGCCACACTCCAGAAAGCGTACCGTGGTAGTTGTCCGACGTTCCGAGGACAAGAACCTCCCTGGGGTCGATTTTCTTGATGTCGACTCCCCATCCACGCGCCAACTTGCAAGCCGTATCTGTAGCTTCAGAGCCCGACGTCATGGCCAACACCTTGTCATAGCCAAACTTATCACACAACCGTTTGGCTAAACGAGGCCATCCTTCTGCTTGGCCAGCAATGTTGGCGAGTGTTACTGGGTACAAGTTAGCACAGAATGATCAGCGGCATAGATGAAGATCGTTTTCTGACTTTTCTTGGCTGAGTTGACTTGCGCTTCAAGAAGCCTCGGATGACATTGCCCAAGGTTGCTGGCGCTGAATCCACAGATGAAGTCAATCAGCTCGCGCCCATCGGAATCCTTGACCTGCAGTTAGTCTCAAGGACAAAGACATCCCGGGCGGGGTGCATCTTACGCGAACCCGGGAACCTTGCCCAGACACCAGGTACACTGGCAAAGAGTTGATCCCTCCGACGCTGTAAGTCTTGTTTATCTCGTTCAGTGCACGGCCAGATGCCGGCAGGGGGAGGGAAATTTTGGTTGTAGTGATACTCTCTAACATGGCTGCATGTACCTCTCTGCTTGGTTTGCTGGAGCAAGACGATCTTGAGATTGCAAACAAGATTCGTATTTAATATGGTTTTCAGATATCTGCGTGCAAGAATACTCATTTGATGCAGACCTCATTCTACCTCCATGAAGGGGGCCTCAGATTCAAACATCGAAATGTCTCAATCGGGAAGTTTTACCACTAAAATCTCATAGGCCATGTCCCAATATTAGTCCTTCGCTGCAGAGTAGGTAGTGAAATGCAAGAACGCAAATGTAGAAGATCATGCTGCCCCGATCGACGGCCAGAAGTCTACCGACCGGGCATGGTATGCGATAGACTTCGGCGACGAAGGCAGTCTTGTCAGTGTATCGATTAGAAGCCACTAGGATGACTGCCATTATTCAGCTAGCAAGCCGAAAATATGCGAAACGTTGAAATCCGTCATTATCGTCATGCACGCGGAAAACCTACTCCTTTCGACCAGTACATGATGATCACGCGACCGCAGTAGAGGGATGCAACGAGCCTCGGTGGAAAAGTTGCCTAAAACGGACTGGTCTTGCTCCGGGCTTCTCCGCAAATGTTCCTCAGCACTACAAGTTGCGATTAATGCCAATTGCCCGATCAATGCAGGTTTCTTTTGTGCATGCCTGCCCTCATGAGATCGAGATAAGATACCAGACAGATAGAACATCAGGCAGAGTGTTGTTTAGGTTACAGCTGTAGCCGTCGGTCATGGTGTTTCCCCCTCCATCTGACATCCCGCGGCCTGCGCCGTCAAGTTCTCTAACTTTCGTAAATAATACTAGTATAGCGACAGCAATTGAAATCTGGCAAGCTGCTCAGAGAAAGAGGGTACTGACCAGAAGAAGCCAAGAACCATCATCACATCAAAAACCATCGTGAGCTAAGCTCTACGCCTTTCTCCTTCTCCCCTGATCTTGAATTGTTCCAATCATGCCCTGGAAATTGCTCACTCCGGAGCTCGTCCTGGTCACCCGAAACCAAACCGTACTCCTTGCGTGAATCCTCATCGCCGCTCTATGGATACGAACCCTCCGTCTCCAGGCGACAGCTAGAAACCCTGGCCCTTGGCACTTGAAGTTCACAAGCCTATCTGTCAAACATCGTGAACTGTTCGGTCAGAAAATAGAAAGGCTTCATAAGCTACGTCTTCGATATGGACCCGTCGTTCAAATCGCGTGCAACGAGGTCTCATTCGCAAGCTACACAGCAACAAAGCAAATCTACGGCTCGGGAAGTAAGGACTTTACAAAAACGGAGCTATACTCTCTCTATCAGCAAGACGGTCACATGTAAGTGCCTTGCCGCGGGTTTGTTTTTGACACTCTTTGTGCTCATGAATCTGACATCTGCAGCAACATATTCACAGCCCTCGACTCAGATACTGTACTTATGACACTCTCTTCCAAATGTAAGCTCCGTGCTCTATGGCTAACGTAACCGATGCTAGCATAGCACTATACGGCGCCATCTCGCTGGCCGGTACTCCAACTCGTAGGTTCTCCGACCTCAGATCATGGAGATGATAGACGAGCGGGCAGAAGCCTTTGGGGCGGTGTGTGCGGTATCAGATACGGCAGACATCTACGTGAGATACCCGAGGTCACCCGCATGAATGTGGTTTCTGACTGTGTGCGCTGAAATATTAGTTTTACCTGCATGCATACGCTCTCGATTGTGTGACTGGGATGTTGTTTCATCCTCACAGAACAGACTCACTTGTCGACGCTGGTGACCAGCAGATGGTCAAGCTGCTATCTTATGCCGAAACCCGAGAAGGTAGATTCTCATTAAATGCGCTTTAGAGTCAAGAAACTCTTTGGGATGCGTTCTTAACACTAACAAGTCTAGCTCACCACGCTGGGAGGCCTTGTTCCCGAAGCTGGTCGACCTGGAACAAGGAAGCAACTTTTTGCGAAAGTTTGTGCAAGACTCGTTGGAAACCGGAGACCATTCCGACTTCACCGTGGCACGAAAGCTTCTAGAACCGAGCCGTGTAAGCAGGCCCCTGGCAGAAGCTGAATGCCTCGACCACATTGGCGCTGGGATCGGAACTACAGGTGATACCTTGTGTTGGCTCATTTGGGAACTCTCTCAGCCCAAACACGAGGGAAGAGTCCAAAAACTTCACAACCAGCTTGTCGAAGTAGGGAATGATCGGCCTCTTCACAAACTGCCCTATCTGAGCGCTGTTGTTCATGAGGGCTTGCGTTTATTTGCCCCAGGAACGATGTCACTTCCACGTTACGCGTCAAAACAGAGCGCCTTTATTGATGGATATTTCATCCCCAAGAATTCGATCGTGGTGTGTAATTCCTTTGGCATGCATCGCCTGGATGAGAGTACGTTCCCGGACGCATGTCAATTCGTTCCTGAGAGATGGTTGGATTCAGAAGACAACACTGATCGACAACGTTTATTTCTTGCCTTTGGGCTTGGCCCACGGACTTGCATTGGGCGGCAGTAAGCTTGGATACTTCATCCACGTCGAGTTAGAGGTTCTTGGTCAAGGGGTGAATCGCTAACGCAATGTGCGCTTCGTAGTCTTGCTATGGCTGAGATGAGAGCTTGCTTGGGTGCAGTCTACTCCAAGTATCGTACTAGGCCCTCCCCGGATATGCGGTCGAGTATGGAGATGGACGATCAAGTTCTGACATCCCGTCCTCGAGATCTGTGCTACAAGACATAGTTCGTACCTTGGGACCTAGAGGCGTGATTCTCCAGAGTGCCTTCATCACACGCAGTTGAGGATCACTGGCATCTGTTGCTTGGCAATCGGGCTGGCACAGGTAGAGAAGCTTAGGATATGAGCCCTAATTCCTGACCACCACTCAACTTCCAGAGATCTTCTCAGCATTGGAAGGGTGGCCGAGTTGGTTATGGCGCCAGGTTAAGGTCAGCTTAACATCTGTTTCCTGGTGGGGCAACCCGCGCGAGTTCGAGTCTCGTCCCTTTCAAGATTATCCTTTTGCATGTCGTGGTGATATTGATATCCATTGTCCGATGATTTTTTTGGTGCGATTTGACGAATTCGGTGAACTCCGCCGATGCGTCTTTTTTTGGGTACGTACCTCGAGAATTGAGTTCCGTCTGCAGAAATTGTTAGTGCAACGGAACGGACCAGTAGATGGGGCAGAAACGGCTCAGAGTGGGTTCTTCGGATACGAGGGACCTGTGAGAACTCTGCACTGGTGGGGCCGTCACCGACAATGTGCCGTGGACCAACCAGGGGCGGTATTTCTCCGTGCACAGGCCACTTTCTCGCCCGATTCATCCCCGACTGTGGGTCCGGGCCTGGATTGATGTTTGCCCCATTCCGGACGTCCTCCGACCGGTCTTCCCAGCTGCTGTCGACTCGTCTCCACGCAGATGTTACACTCGCTGAAATTGTTGGAACGCACCATCATTTAATGAAGATTGCGCTGCTGCAGCCTTAGCTTCGGGGGGCAACGGGGGACCCAAGCGACCCAAGGTCCTCAAAATACAGGGGCGATGGATGCTGCAGGCATGTGCGCACTGCGCAGCGCTGCCTAGCGCTGTAGTCCACTGTCCACTGGTCTAGAGGTGCAATGTACCGAGGTGAAACGCGGTATTTTGCACTGAATACTGGGACTGACGAAGACATCACGCCAAAGAGATATGTCTGTCAGAGCGGCAGAGCAATTGTTGAGACCCGACAGTTGTTGGTTGCTGGTGGTCCGGTTTTTGGCCAATCGTTGCCGACCGTCGCAAGTACGCAGTACGCAACTTTGTGGATTCGAGCCTCTTGGACGACCTGGTCTTCTTCACGTGCGGACTTGCTCTGCTCCGCAATGCCTTGTCTTGCGTCGTATCATCCTACTGCTGCGCGTCCCAATTCCCTCTCGTAATCGTCAACTACACTCGACCATATGGGTTCCTGGGAACTGTAAGCAACAGCTGGCCATGCGCAGCGCATCTGAGCGTATCTTGTCTCGTAAGATCACAGCTGTGCCGTTTGCTGCCCATCGCGATCGGCCCAGAAATTGGACGTCGGATGCTTTTCGCAGACACCGACCACGTGAGCGGTGGAAGCAGTATCGTCTCCGATCAAGGTGCTCGACGGATGCACATGCCGCCCAGATAAGAGTACGGCTTGCGAGTGTCAACCTCCAAATGGTGTCGTATCTTTGGGTTGTTTCCGAAGGTCTGGCCGCAGACTTGTTTCGTAAAGCTAACAGCGTCTTATCTCGGGCGATAGGCGATTGCTGTTTTCGAACGGCGACCCAGGCAACCAGGAGCGACAAGGGGTTCAAGGGGATTCCTCGGCGTCCACAATTCCATCCTTGAGCCTTGAGATAAGCAACCACAGCAGTCTGGGGTTTCGGTAGGTCCCCCACGCAGTGATGGAGGAGGCCCCTTTCCGCCCCTACATCGAGTGGGCTTCTTGATGGCCACGGTCAGCAAAGTCCCCGTAACGTATCAGTTCGGGTAGTCGTACATTGCGCGGATGAGCAGGATGTCTTTCCCCGAGTCCCTGGTCTGGATGGTAAGCTACGCCGTATGCCTTACCGAGGCGGGTGGTGTTTGGCGGCTATGGTCCTATCTTCGAGGCGCGCTGGCGTGGTCTGCGACAAGTTGACATCTTGGTCAGGAGACGCTTGTGGCGTTATCAAATCGGTTTCCCGGCGTGTAGGCCGCCCCGTGTTTGTAAATGCCGGGATAGCCATTGGTCTCGCTCAGTCTATACCGGCTGAGTTTCCTGGATTTGGGAAGACGTCGCGTGATCTGCGTAGGATCGATATTCCCGAGGGCTAGAAGTCGGTAGTTAGAGATGTGTTCAGGGCTAAACGTCGTCGTCACTCCTGTCAGGGCGGCCTGCTTGTCGGCCGCCTTCGTTCTTGCAAGTACCTCGCTAACAGGGTACAGAGTCGGTAGAGTCGGAACTGATGTTTCTCTGCCTATCAGTACCTTAGCCCACGGTGTATCGATGCCCTTGTGCCGTCCAGCACGCTGTATCAAGGATCTGTTCCGACGAGATGTTGGTTGCTTCGTCTACTCCGTACAGAGCCATGTGAGCGTCCCCGGCTGTCAGCGTTTGATGTCTCGCTGGGTGACATTACTCCGTGAATTAATCGCACGAGTGGTGTAGACGGCATAGAGTATGGCTTATCCGTACATACATAGGAGATGTGCCTTGGTCCCGGTCGATGGCAAGGGATTCATGATTCAAGGATTGATGCAGCCGTAGTTCGCATCCTGCAGTCGAGCTAACATGGCCATGTCTAGAGCAAGGAGTAAGGATCTTCGTCAATGGAAAATGGGAGACTTTGGCGATGGCCCAGGAAAGATGGAGGCGCCAGAGAGATGCGGTTGCCGCAAGGCTGGAGAGGATCCAAGGCGTCGGTGGAGGAAGGCACGGGGTGGGTCTGGTCACTGTCAGCCTTGAGGAAGCCACGATGTGAGGCAGGTGCGACGACGGAACCTGCGCACCTTCCGTTTGTTCTCCAAGATATTGCAGGTGGAAGGAAGGGAAGGTGCGATGTCCCCCTTCTTGAGATGCACCTTCCCGCCCACTCCATCTGGACGCAACCACGTGCTTCCGATCCGACGACATCTTGCCGCATTTCTCAGGCCCGCGGTGGATGTCTCCGTAAGGTACAGACGCGAGGTTCACTCCACTCAACTTCATGTCAAAATACGCCAGCGAACGTGTTTCTCTTGGTCTTCAACTCCACGTCGCATTCCGCTCTCATTGACAGCTGCCGTGGTCTTGGCGCCTCTAAACAACCTTCCTCACTCGAAGACCTACAGCGGGGTTCCCTATTAGACGCCCTCCCGTCCTGGACTACTCCCGACTCCCCCATGTACCTTGCCTTGCCCTCTCGGCTCCCGCATGGCTATCTACATACTGTTGCACTGCACTGCAACGGAGAATCTAGACGCAGGTCTCTTCCAGGGCAAATGTCGGTTCATGGATGCTGTTGGTCACCGCCATGTGATGCCCTCGCTAATTCGTTTCCAGCTGCGGCTCAGCGGCACCTAAATGTTTTGACGTACGGGAACGAAGGATGAGGAGGAACCGTTCTCGAGACCCTGCGCGCGTGTCTGCGGGCGTTCGATCACCCTTACCAAAGTCACTGACCAGGTACACCTACCTGTACGCTGGCATCCTTATTCTGCATACGAGGTCTCAAATTCAACGTCACTTCGTCTAAATGGCTTCTAGTGGTGGTTGTATCGGGCTCTCCGGAAAGGCAATCGAACCTTTCACTTTGCCCGATTCATACGCTTTCTTTCGGGACTCCGCCAAGCAATTTGTCGGTCTGCACTCGGTGTGTTAAATCTCGCTCTCGCCATCCCCACTTCACCAGCGACCGTCATCGCGCGCGCCACACCCGCTTCCATCAAAAACGAGGCGTTGCGCATTTTGCTGCCCTCGCTGGGCCTCATTGGAAAGCCATTGAGCTGATCATGATGCAAGGCTATCGATTTGTTCCATCATGCCATCTCAGCCTTTCCCCGGATTCGATACGTATATACGTATCGTGAGTGTGCCCCTCCTGTTCAGCCTGGCAGTGGACAGGGTCTCCAGGGTCTAAGGGTACCAATTGCGCCATCAGCGAGCCTTCAGGCTTCAGCGCAAGTGGACGACCCAGCATGGCGGGACAAACGTCGACGTCCTTGTCGCGTGTGCTGCGATCGGGTGTCATCCCCCCGGACTGGCCTGGCTTCCCTCCACCAAATAGCCGGGTTTGGCGCTGAGCCGGCTCGATAGGTGCTGAGGGAGAAATTTCTTGGCCTGACGACTCGTCTGTCTTTCCCATCAAGGAATCAAAAGCTTTCCTCGCATCCCGACGACAGACATGAATGGTAGACTGACAGCCACCGACGATTGTCACCGACAAGTATCTCACCCGCGTTAAGCCGGCGCAGAGATACTCTTACGTACGACTCGGCTTGGCTCTAACTTGGTGCGGCAGGTGGGCGGATCATCACTGGAGTACCCTCTGTGACATCAGCACCTATTCAGGGCCTCCTCAGAGCCACTTCAGAACCACTTCCCACGGGAGCTTGCAGGCCTCACGATCCTAGTGGGCTTGGTTGTATCAGGGAGTTATTCAAGGTGTGCCCCCCGACCCTGTGTTGGCGCGCAGAGACAGCCTTGGGATTCCCTGTGCAGAACGGGGGGAGCCCCTGTCTCTCCCCCCATCTGCTCCAGTCTCCTCCATTTTCCTCCATTTCTCTCCATTCTCTCTCCATCCAAGCGCGTCCACTTGGCTCACTTTTCAAACGCTCACTCGCTCGCTTTGCGACCGCCAACCGTGTCGTCCTCCACCGTCGTCGGGATCAAGACGGCAAGACGGAAGATTGAGAGACTCCACGACTCGCACCGGGCGAACCAACGGTCTGCATTTGCGTGGAGAGCATGCGGCGCTAGTCGGGCAACTGGGACCACAGCACTACGTCATTACGCATTATGTGCATTGAGCAGGTCGAGGATGAGGACTGATGGAGAAATGGATCATTTCTTTGCTGTCTCAGAGGTTGACGATTTTTTTGTGCTGCCGCTGCCGCTGCCTCTAGGCACTCGGTCCCTGATTGTTTCCCCTCGACACGACGAGGATTATTAGACGTGGAGCGCAAGCCGCAACCACAAAGCGTAACAACGTGGAACGTTGGAGCCTCATCCGACGCCTCGCGGCTTCACGGCTCCTCGGGGTCATCCCTTTCGGCGCCGACGGGGGAGGGGAAAAGAGGAGAGTTTTTGAGGAGAAACCTGGAAGAGAGCGTTGACAAGGTCTCAATTCTCAAAGTACCTACACATTTCCAATAAGTACTGATTATTCGTACATCGCCCCCAACCCACCCGTGCGGGACAACACACATGCGCAAGAAGCCGCGAAGAACACACGAAGAATAATGCCTCCATGAGTTCCTAGCGTCAGCTAGCGGACAGCCAAACCTTGACCACTTGTCGAACCGCGGCACTGTAGTGCGGGAAAAGGATTTGCAAAGTCTCAATGTCTCGCCATCCCGCCGCCACTCTCCATGGGACTCTCAGGCCTAATCCAAGTCGTGCGACACACAGGCGCGGAGCAAAGTCCTAAGGCGCGCGGACCAATGTCCAAAGGGCCGCAGCCCAATCGGCTGATGATTAGGGATACAGGGCAGAGGAAATGCAAATGCAAATGCAAGACAGGCTGACAGGCTAGAGCCCAAAGTACCGCCGATAAATCCCATTTACCTTGGGTCGGGTGTTCCAACGATGGGCTCAATATGCTTTAGACCTGCGGTCGATGGCGCGGGACAAATTACCGCAACCAGGCCCAGAGCCGACACCGTCTGGCTCTACACGCGCTCTTACAGGCTCACTTCTTCGGCCTGGGTCTTGGCACCACACCAGATACGGCTGTTGCGAGCGATGCGATGCTTGAATGCTTCGATACGGCTGACGCTGGCCACATGCCAGGCACCTCAGCTCTATCTTCTCGGCCTTGCCTTGCACGGCGTTGCGTTGCCCTTCACTGTGCCGCAGGACGTCGTCCGTAAGCGAGAGAGAGCGCCCATGCTACCCGCGCTGACTGCCCGGCAAGTCTTGGGAGGTCAGAGTGTGGGCAACAAGATTGCTGTGGCACCGGTCGAATCCACCGGGGACCCCGAGTCAGACCAAAGAGGCCGCGAGAGATAAACAGACACGAGTTGAGGGAACCTACGCTAAGAAACCCTTCATCGACATTGTGCGAGCCCGCCCGCGCCCAGCAGTGCACACGGCGCCTGTATCCTGTATGGACAGATAGGTACAGGGACAGCACTGATAGGACGAGACATGCGACTACATATGGACGGACAAGGGGCTGAGAGGGGGGCAAAGGACATGGGCATGGGCATGGGGGCGTCGAAGGTACACTACAACTCTTTGGGAGTTTGGTCCCGCAGCCTACGTCCATGTCCAATGAGATGGACGTCATTCACCCATCCCGGCGAACGCGACACCAAGGAGTGAGAGAGGAACCGACTGATAGCCCAGTACGGGACGGCACTGAATGGAAGTTGTACAGTGAGGAGTAAGGACTGCCTCAACTCAATCGAGACCTTCCCTGCCGGCTGTTCTGTCTGTCAATCTGTCTCCGGCAGCCTGTCTGT